TGACTATATAAACTGTGTACTGACTCCATTCTGTCTGAGAGAAAGAAACATAGGAAACCACTGGAACTTGAGAGAAACTTAAATAAACTTCCAAAGTTTGGCGCACCACGATCCGTCTCTGTCTGCTTCATCCTTGACACTCTGGTCAGATGAAACCAAAATCAAACTTTTTGGCCACAATGCAAAACGATATGTTTGGCGTAAAAGCAACACAGCTCATTACCCTGAACACACCATCCCCACTGTCAAACATGGTGGTGGCAGCATCATGGTTTGGGCCTGCTTTTCTTCAGCAGGGACAGGGAAGATGGCTAAAATTGATGGGAAGATGGATGGAGCCAAATACAGGACCATTCTGGAAGAAAACCTGTTGGAGTCTGCAAAAGACCTGAGACTGGGACGGAGATTTATCTTCCAACAGGACAATGATCCAAAACATAAAGCCAAATCTACAATGGAATGGTTCACAAATAGACGTATCCAGGTGTTAGAATGGCCAAGTCAAAGTCCAGACCTGAATTCAATCGAGAATCTGTGGAAAGAGCTGAAGACTGCTGTTCACAAACGCTCTCCATCCAACCTCACTGAGCTCGAACTGTTTTGCAAGGAAGAATGGGCAAGAATTCCAGTCTCTCGACGTGCAAAACTGATAGAGACATACCCCAAGCGACTTACAGCTGTAATTGCAGCAAAAGGTGGCGCTACAAAGTATTAGCGCAAGGGGGCCGAATAATATTGCACGCCCCACTTTTCAGTTTTTTATTTGTTAAAAAAGTTTGAATTATCCAATAAATGTTGTTCCACTTCACGATTGTGTCCCACTTGTTGTTGATTCTTGACAAAAAATTTTTTTTTTATATCTTTATGTTTGAAGCCTGAAATGTGGCGAAATGTTGAAAGGTTCAAGGGGGCCGAATACTTTCAAGCACACAGTCCCCCATTGTCAACCCTGGTTTGAGTTCTGGTGAAGTCTGGTGTGGGTCCTGTTTTGGCTGTTTATGAGTATTTTCAGTCTGCTCGCTCAGTCCGCTAATGTCCCCGTGACCACTTTGCTGCTCTCTGATTGGTTGTCGCACGAACGTCCCAAGGAAAGGATGAGCAGAATCCATCTCCTGTGGGCGTTGATTTTTCGCTCCTGCTCCTCCCTTTTCACTTCCCCGCCAAGGCCGTGCGTCATCCGTTCGTGCGTGCCGAGAGGTCCGTGCGTTGTGACGGTCGAACGCGCGCCACCATAGACTTTGCATTGAAACCCGACGCAACGCATGATCCGGTCTGAAAGCACCATTAAACAGTGAGGGGCGATAGCTCCGTGGGTGCGGGGAGGGCCAGCAGAAAGAGCGAGGCCAGTGGGCGTGTTCGCGCGCCCGGTCAGCGCACGCGCATATCACGTGGAGGTAAAGTGCACGCGCTCTCTCTCTGCACGCCCCCGGGGGCCATTCACCTGCATCCATGGATTCACTATAGTTGCATCTCCTCCCTTGCTCTCCCTCAACCATGCTCTCTTAAGTTGTCTGGTTTATGCACCCACATTCATATCGCACATACGACGCCTTCACTGCACAACAAGCATTACCTGCACCTACAACACTGACTTCTACGAAACACACCCCATACTTTACCTTTTTGTACTTATTCATATTCGTTCTACTGTTTTCCAATTAACTGTGTCCTGTGCGTAAAGGCAGGGAATCCTTGCAAGGCTTAGCGAGTTTCCCGCTAGGGGATCCTTCGCATTGGTGTGTTTAGTGTGGAGGTACGACGGGTGAAGCATCCATTTCCCCTTCCCTTTATTCACTTGGGAGCGCGCCCCAGTGAGCCGGCTTTGTCAGCCGATCGCTTCGCTGCGCTGTGGTATCAGCATAGACTGTATGGAATCACGGGGCACAAGAACAAACCGCCACGCCTCACGAAGACGCCCCGTCCCAATTCTCACCCTTGCCCTAGAGTTTGCGCGTGCCCGCGGGAGTGCAAGGGTGTCCCAATACTTAGGGAGAAGAGGCGAGGGCCTTCACACCCCTAAAACCCACCCTTGAGCGCAAGTGTGGTCCGGAGCTCACTTGCGAGCGAGTGTGATCCCATGATGCATTACGATAGCTGTTGGTAAAGTAGCTGTGAGGCAAAACCGCGCCACAATGAAAGAAAACAACATGAAACACCAGCGCGCAAGTTTGTGCGGAACATGAGCAAGGTCCAAAGCGTGTGCGAGTCTTTCAGAATTTGTAATGCCTGTGTTGGTGCCGTGTGCGGTGATGTTCGCTCTTGAAGCGGCCGCAGTGTGTGGCGTGAGGCTTCAGAGATGTGGATCCATGTTATTATAGATCCATGTAGTTCAGAGCATCGCTTTGACACAGTTTGCTTTGTGATCCGCGGGACTGCGGCTGTACCCGTCTGTCTCTGTGTGCGTATGTAGATGTGTCTGTCTGTGTGGTACGTCTCTGTGCGCGTACGTGTATATGTACATGTGTCTGTCTGTGTGGTATTGTGAGATTTCAAAACACTTTTAAGCAACTTTTGTTAAGGTTAAACTCATCATTCTATCAATGTGCAGAAGCCAGTACTTTTCCCTTGTTTTGTCTATCTGAAGGCCAAGCTACATGGCACCGTGGCAGCTGCTGATTGGAGGTCTCCATGCCTCCGCTCTGTATAATACACTTGCATTCTGTTGTATCTGTGTTCGTGGTCGTGCTGTCTCTACCATCGACAATAAAACATGTCTTCTGTCTGAATTTAAGACGCGATCCCAGACTATGTCATCTTCTTCAGTATGTCTCTGTGCGCGTATGTACATGTCTGTCTGTGTGGTACGTCTCCGTGCGCGTACGTGTATGTACATGTGTCTGTGTGGTACGTCTCTGTGCGTGTATGTACATGTGTCTGTGTGGTACGTCTCTGTGCGCGTACGTGTATGTACATGTGTCTGTGTGGTACGTCTCTGTGCGCGTACGTGTATGTACATGTGTCTGTGTGGTACGTCTCTGTGCGCGTATGTGTATGTACATGTGTCTGTGTGGTACGTCTCTGTGCGCGTACGTGTATGTACATGTGTCTGTGTGGTACGTCTCTGTGCGTGTATGTGTATGTACATGTCTGTCTGTGTGGTACGTCTCTGTGCGCGTATGTACATGCGTCTGTCTGTGTAGGACCGTGTGTGTCTGCCTCTGTGTGTCTACATGTGTGTCTGTGTGCATGTGTGCGTCTGTCTCTTGAGTGCGTGATGTGCAGCAGTTCTGTACCTAATTATAGCAAAACTTCATATGAAATAGAATTAAAAACTTCTCATTTTAATAAATTCAGTGTTTCATAAAGTCATATCTGTGTCAGATCTTATCTGTAGTGAAATCAGACTCATTGATAATGTGTGTGACGCGGAACATGTCTGCTGCGTCATTTGCATATTGTCCCCTTGATCCAGGGGTGTCCCAATTCTTAGGGAGAATGTTGTGAGTGCATTCCCCACTGGGAAGGCACTTTGCTGGTGAGGGCACTCACACCTAAGGGCAAGGGTGAGAATTGGGACGGGGCCAATGGGCTTTTTGGGGTCGGCAGTGAGTGGGATATTCCTGTCTTTTGTGTTGCATTAGTAAGATATCACTTAGTTTTGTTTTTTTGTGTACAGTAGCCACGAAAGAAGTGATTGAAGACTTTGTTGAATCTGTCATTCTGGCTTGGATATTTTCACAAATAAACAACTATTTTCACAAAGAAACAACTATTTTCACAAAGAAACTATTTTCACAAAGAAACAACTCAGCATTATGGAGTTGATATTGAAGATACTAGAAGGCTTAAAGATGTTTGTAATGAGTTTTGAAAGAGGAGCAGCCTGTTGCTGCAGCCTCTTCATTGTTGTTGCAGCCATTGCAGAGTTTTAATTTGTCTTTGGAGCAGCGAAAAGAGCTACTTATGTTTCAGTTAAGCCTTGAGTTGGCGAAAGAAAAATGAAGCAAAGAGGAGAACTGGCTAAAATTGAAGTGGAGCGTGAGGGACTTGAACTGGTGACACTGGGAAGATTTGAAAAGTTGAGGGGCTCAAGGAGAGAGGCCTTCAGGAGAACATGTTAGATGAGCTGAGTGACTTGGAATTGGTTCTAAGTTTAATGAGCAAGACCCAGAGACTGCTTTTTTCTTTGTTTGGGCAGTCATCAGAGTAGTCTGATTTAACTTGTGCTAATGTTACAATGTGTCTTCTTTACAGGCAAAGCCCAACAGGCTGTGTCTGCTTTGGAGAATGCTCAAAGTTCCAGATAAAGATGTAAAGACCGCTGTCTTTAAATATGTATGAACTGGTCCCTGAAGCATACCGTCAGAGAAGTCTTAATCGGAGTTCATGCGTAATTTGACAAATTTTGAGAGCTGGTGTTTTTAGTAGGATTATGCACAATACTGGCGCTGGTGAATCGTTTATTGTGGCCTCGGCCTTGTCTTTTTCTTCAGAAACTTCTGTGGGCTCAGATATGCCTGTAGTGGGGATGGGCTTTAAAGTTGTTGATGTGCCTCTGACACAAATTTTTGCTGCTCTGTGATTATTTTTTTTTTTTTTCAAGGGAGATGTGACTATAGGGGTGCGTGTCAGGAATGACATTGCAGGGAGCAGAGTCTGGGCTGATGTTCCACATCCAGCCGGTTACGAGTTCTCCTGTGGTTCACAGTAAAGCCTTATGAAAATGAGTTGCAGTTCCCTGAGGTTTTTAAAGCGTGTTGTCACATGTTCAAAAAAGCTAAAACTGAGGATTTAGTTGTAGATTGTGCTTGGTCTGTGCCTGTTCTTCCCTGGTCAGTTTCTTGCAGTTATTTGGTGGGGGATTAAAGTCTGAAGGAGCTGACTGAAATGGTTTGTCCTGCAGCTGACGTCAGGAATCTCTCAATGTTATCTTTTGCATTATGAAATCTTAATGAGAAAATGGACACCTCAATGAGAGGGATTTGTGGCAGAACCTGTGTAATAGGTTGTGGTGCCTGTGAAACTTTGAGCAACTGTTTATACAGATTCCACATGACCACATGATGGGTGGCCATCTTTCTGTGAGGACACTACAGCAAGATGGCCTCCCTGACCGCATGCTCAGGTATTTTTTTCTGCCAAGGTTAAAAAGGAATGTCTCCTCCTACATCAAGTCCTGTCACACTTGCCACCTAACAAGTAAGCCGAACCAGTCCTTGAAGCCAGTCCTGCTTAGTCCAGTTCCAGCTATGGGGAAGCCTTTGAGCAGTTACTCATAGATTGTGGGGGGCCTCTGCCACTTGCGAGGTCTGGTGTGATGTATATGTTAAATGTGATGTACCCTGATATGCTTAGCATTACGGCTAAGAATGTAGTCAGAGCGTTGTCTCCATTTATTGGAGAAGTTTAAAGCCGGATTTGGATACAAAAAGATTTCCCAAGCTTTAAACATCTCAAGGAGCACTGTGCAAGCAATTATTTTGAAATGGAAGGAGTATCAGACCACTGCAAATCTACCAAGACCCGGCCGTCCCTCCAAACTTTCATCTCAAAGGAGAAGTCTGATCAGAGACGCAGCCAAGAGGCCCATGATGACTCTGGATGAACTGCAGACAACTACAGCTGAGGTGGGAGAGTCTGTCCATTGGACAACAATCAGTCGTGCACTGCACAAATCTGGCCTTTATGGAAGAGTGGCAAGAAGAAAGCCATTTCTCAAAGATATCCATAAAAAGTCTCGTTTAAAGTTTGCCACAAGCCACCTGGGAGACACACCAAACATGTGGAAGAAGGTGCTCTGGTCAGATGAAACCAAAATCAAACTTTTTGGCCACAATGCAAAACGATATGTTTGGCGTAAAAGCAACACAGCTCATCACCCTGAACACACTATCCCCACTGTCAAACATGGTGGTGGCAGCATCATGGTTTGGGCCTGCTTTTCTTCAGCAGGGACAGGGAAGATGGCTAAAATTGATGGGAATATGGGTGGAGCCAAACACAGGACCATTCTGGAAGAAAACCTGTTGGAGTCTGCAAAAGACCTGAGACTGGGACGGAGATTTATCTTCCAACAGGACAACGATCCAAAACATAACGCCAAATCTACAATGGAATGGTTCACAAATAGACGTATCCAGGTGTTAGAATGGACAAGTCAAAGTCCAGACCTGAATCCAATCGAGAATCTGTGGAAAGAGCTGAAGACTGCTGTTCACAAACACTCTCCATCCAACCTCACTGAGCTCAAGCTGTTTAGGGAAGAATGGGCAAGAATTCCAGTCTCTTGATGTGCAAAACTGATAGAGACATACCCCAAGCGACTTGCAGCTGTAATTGCAGCAAAAGGTGGCGCTACAAAGTATTAGCGCAAGGGGGCCGAATAATATTGCACGCCCCACTTTTCAGTTTTTTATTTGTTAATAAAGTTTAAATTATCCAATAAATTTCATTCCACTTCACGATTGTGTCCCACTTGTTGTTGATTCTTGACAAAAAAAAATATTGTTATATCTTTATGTTTGAAGCCTGAAATGTGGCGAAATGTTGAAAGGTTTAAGGGGGCCGAATACTTTCGCAAGGCACTGTATGTGGTCGGATGTTTCAGTGGATAAAAGATTTTCTTAGTAACAGGTCTATACAGGTGAGAGTAAAAGGTGAACTTTCTGAGGTAGCAAGTATATTGAATGGAACTCCACAAGGGTCAGTTATTAGCCCGATTTTATTTAATATTATGATAAATGATATTTTTCAGAACATTGATGCAGGATTTGGAAGATCTCTGTTGATCTCTGATGGGGCTGTTTGGAGGAGAGGAAGGAACCTGGATTTTCTTATGGAACAGACACAGAAAGTTTTAAATCAAATAGTTCAGTGGGCAAATAAATGGGGTTTCATGGGGCAAAGAGTAATTATGTGACTTTTGGATTGAAGAAGAGGGGAGCAAAGGGGTCTTTAAGTTTGTATGGTAATCCATTAGAGAAGGTGAATGTCTTCAAATTTCTAGGAATGTGGATGGATGAGAAACTAACTTGGAATAGGCATGTAGAATTTTTTTTTTTAAATGAGAAAGGATATACTGTATAATTTACTTCGGTGCTTGGCTGGCAGTGACTGGGGGCAAATAGAGAAACAATGCTCATGATTTATAGAGCAATGATTCGGTCCTCGATTGATTATGGTTGTTTTGTATATGGGGCTGCCTCTAAAACGGTTTTACAAAAATTTGAAAGAGTACAATCAAAAGCCTTAAGAATCTGCAGTGGTGCTTTTAGGACAACACCTATTCCAGCACTGCTGGTCGAGATGGGAGAAACTCCTCTTGGAATTAGGAGGCAAAAACTTGGGCTCCAGTATTGGGCAAGATTAGCTGGATTAAAACACAATTCGGCTGCAAAATGCCTATTGAGTGAATAATGGGAGTTTGATAAAATAAATGAAAAGAGTAACTTTTTGTGTAGGGTAAAAGAGATTGCTAAAAGGGAAGGATTAGAAAATAATGTGGTAGGGTTGGTGTGGCCATCCATTCCCTTCTGGAGGATATCAGAACCTGAAGTGCAGTTGGATTTTTTGGGGATGGAGAAGGCACAGGTCAAAAGACAAGTGTAGAAGTTCATCAATGAAAACAAGGAGACTGTGCATGTGTTTACAGATGATTGAAAGGATCCATGGTCTAGACGGGCAGGATTTAGTGTCCATGTAATAAATTGTGATTTTAATTTCAGTAGTCGAATTAGCGATGGTCTATCTGTGTTCTCTGCCGAGCTTCTTGCTATTTGGTGGGCTTTGAAATGGGTAGAAGATAATAATGGACTTTGTCAATGTGGCCAGACTGAAAGCGTTAAGCATGTGCTATTGGACTGTCAGAAGTACGCAGTGGAGAGAGAGAGGATGCTGTGTGAATTAAGTGACTTGGGTTTTAAAGTTTTTTCAATAGCGAGTATATTCGCGGAATCGCGGGTTTCACGTTCTGTAGATCGAGTCATATTAAAATATCTGCTCTCTACCGACCTAGTCTCGAGAATTTAGTCCCTAATTAATGTGTGTGGGAAGATGACGGAGGAGGGCAGCATTGCGCCGTACCGGTGCACAGCCTGCCGGAAAAAAATAGAAGAAGAAGAGGAAGGGGTCGCTGGTCTGTTCGCTTTGGTCGAAACTTGGAGCTAAATATTGACTATTTATTTCACCTTCAGGGATGTGTTTGGGAGGATCCTGCTAACACAACAGCAACAGCAGCTCAAGCACGCATTTGAGGTAAGAAAGGTCTGAGAAACGATCAGTCAGAGGCGAATATAACACTTGTTTGGAAGAAATGGGCTGCATTCATGAAAACATACTACTTTGTCCTCGTTTGCCCTTGCCTCTTCCTTTCTTGACCTAATTAAGCAGCGTCAATACGGTTTTTAAAGGATCTCTTCTGAATCGTATGTAGACTAAATTAGGAGCTTCCCTAACTTTCAACAAGACTTCCTTAAAACGTGGCTTGAATCAATCAATCAATCAATCCTGTATTATCTCACAGATGGAGAAATTCAGTTCGATGAATAAAAATCAAGGCTGGCTGCCTATTTACATATTTCCGCGCTCCTCATGACACTTGTTCAACAGCAGAGAGCAAACAAAACATATATTTCAACAAACATTCTTGGAGAAACACAGTACATGCGGATCTTTTTAAAGGGACATTATCCCTCTGACCCACCTTGTTTATAATTTCAGATGCAGCCACACAAACTGCGTATTCATGCGTATCATCAAGGAAATAATGTAAATGTTTGAGCTAAAATATAAACAAAAACTGTAAGCTGTTCTTAATCCTCATCACTTTAAAAGCGTAGGGAAACTGTTGGATTATGTCAAATGTCCACTATGGATATCATTCCAACCCACTGTTCATAAAATCAAAGGAACTTAAGCTGCAGAACCTTATTCAATTTAAAACTGCTCAAATATTGTTCAGGGCATCTGAAAACTCTGCTACTTAAGGTCCAAAACTTATTCCAGGATAGATATGCTATCGCAATTATAAACTGAGGAAGCTAAAAAGTGTACGTCCCTATGTTTAGGACTGCTTCAAAATGTGTTGTTTCACTGTTTGAAAAAATAAGTATCGAATAACTATTTGTATGAAATAAGATATACAGGTGAAATTTAGATATACAGGAGAAATTTACGTGTCACATTTGGCATAGATAGATAGTGACACCTCCTTTTTGAACCATGTTCTTGTTATTTGTCTGTTCATTTGATATACAGTGCCTTGCGAAAGTATTCGGCCCCCTTGAACCTTTCAACATTTCGCCACATTTCAGGCTTCAAACATAAAGATATAACATTTTAATTTTTTGTCATGAATCAACAACAAGTGGGACACAATCGTGAAGTGGAACAAAATTTATTGGATAATTTAAACTTTTTTAACAAATAAAAAACTGAAAAGTGGGCCGTGCAATATTATTCGGCCCCTTTACTTTCAGTGCAGCAAACTCACTCCAGAAGTTCAGTGAGGATCTTTGAATGATCCAATGTTGTCCTAAATGACTGATGATGATAAATAGAATGCACCTGTGTGTAATCAAGTCTCCGTATAAATGCACCTGCTCTTTGATAGTCTCAGGGTTCTGTTTAAAGCGCAGAGAGAATCATGAAGACAAAGGAACACACCAGGCAGGTCCGAGATACTGGTGTGGAGAAGTTTAAAGCCGGATTTGGATACAAAAAGATTTCCCAAGCTTTAAACATCTCAAGGAGCACTGTGCAAGCAATTATATTGAAATGGAAGGAGTATCAGACCACTGCAAATCTACGAAGACCCGGCCGTCCCTCCAAACTTTCATCTCAAACAAGGAGAAGACTGATCAGAGATGCAGCCAAGAGGCCCATGATCACTCTGGATGAACTGCAGATAACTACAGCTGAGGTGGGAGAGTCTGTCCATAGGACAACAATCAGTCGCGCACTGCACAAATCTGGCCTTTATGGAAGAGTGGCAAGAAGAAAGCCATTTCTCAAAGATATCCATAAAAAGTCTCGTTTAAAGTTTGCCACAAGCCACCTGGGTGACACACCAAACATGTGGAAGAAGGTGCTCTGGTCAGATGAAACCAAAATCGAACTTTTTGGCCACAATGGAAAACGATATGTTTGGCGTAAAAGCAACACAGCTCATTACCCTGAACACACCATCCCCACTGTCAAACATGGTGGTGGCAGCATCATGGTTTGGACCTGCTTTTCTTCAGTAGGGACAGGGAAGATGGCTAAAATTGATGGGAAGATGGATGGAGCCAAATACAGGACCATTCTGGAAGAAAACCTATTGGAGTCGGCAAAAGACCTGAGACTGGGACAGAGATTTATCTTCCAACAGGACAATGATCCAAAACATAAAGCCAAATCTTCAATGGAATGGTTCACAAATAGACGTATCCAGGTGTTAGAATGGCCAAGTCAAAGTCCAGACCTGAATCCAATTGAGAATCATGAGGGAACTTATGCATGTGTACACAATGTGACCTTAGTGTACAGTTTATAAGCAGCAGTTTGTAGAACAGGTCATGATTAGGGAATAACAAGGAGTTGTCTGTGCCAAGAACAAGGGAAATAAATGCACTCTGTGAACTTTTTTTTTTACACAACAAAACAAAACACACACCTCCAACTCCAAATAGACATTATAAATGAATAACATGACCCCCTGGCAGTGAGTGTGTTAAGGGGCCTCTGCTGATTAGCATTTATTTGCAGTCAGGATAACCTTTTGTTTAAAAAGAGGTTTCTGTGGAAAGGAAGCCGCTGATTTTTTACGCCCTTATGTCTTGTCTGGTTCTAGATCAGAATAATCACAATCAGTAATACATATTTGAGAACATTTTGTGAAATATCAGTACTATTGTGATTTTTCTAATAAATAAGTGGAGTGGACTCTGAGGTCTCGTGACCTCAGTGCTCTTCAAGGTTACTGTTTAACTTGTGGTGTGTTTATGATCTGTGACCATTGTACACAGTGTTATCAGACGATGTTCATTTATGACGGCTCTCAGTCTGGCAGGGACCCAAATATAACCTTATGTGACACACAAACCCAGTTTGTCACCACAGCTAAAAGAGGGGTCGCAATTTTAATAAAGAATAGTTGCTTGTTTATGAAAGAGAAATGTATAATTTATAAAGATGGAAGATATGTATTAGTAATAGGGAAAATCGAAGGTCAATACATAACTTTAATTAATGTCTATAACCCTCCAGGGGAATCCCCAGAGTGCTTGAACAAAATCCTGCAAATATTAATGATTGAAACCAAAGGCATCATGATAATGGGAGGAGATTTTAATTTTGTATTGAACCCAAAGGAAGACTCACAAAGTAAGGTGAAACATAAAGCAAATCAAACAACTAAATTAATGAAAACAGCACAACAAGAGTGGGGGATAATCGATGTGTGGCGCAATTTACACCCACAAGAAAAGGCATTTACTTTCTACTCTGATCGCCACAAAATTTACTCAAGACTTGATTACTTCTTCATGTTCAAAACTGAAATCCATAAAGTTACCAAATGTGAAATCCACCCTATAGCCATAGCAGTCCATGCCCTGGTCACCTTAGAGATACATCTGAGAGAACACCAGAGAGAGACATTGTGGAGGATGAACAACTCGCTCATATCAGATAAATACTTTCAAGAGAAAATAAAAAAAGACTTTGAAACATATTTAGAGATCAATGACAATGGAGAAGTGACAACAACTATCTGCACTGGCTTCCCGTGGCCCAGAGGATAGACTTTAAAGCAGCTCTCCTGGTGTACAAGTCTCTCCATGGCCTTGCACCAAAGTACATCCATGATATGCTAGTCCCATATGAACCAGCCCAGACTCTGAGGAGCGCAGGGACGGGACTCCTGTTAGTGCCCAGAGTTAGGACTAGACAGGGGGAGGCTGCTTTTCAGATTTATGCAGCTAAAGTCTGGAACAGTCTTCCTGAGGATGTGAGACTGGCTGCCTCTCTGTCAATGTTCAAATCCATGTTAAAGACTTTTCTTTTTTCCTGTGCATACAACTAGAGAATTTTATCTTTTTAACACACCTTGTTATTTATTGTTGTAACTTTTTGTGTTTTTAACTATTTTATTGTTTTTAATTACTTGTGTGATTCTTATGTTTTTAAATTACTTATGTGATTTTAATGCTTTTTAATTACATATGTGTTTTTAATTGTATTTTAATGGTGATGATTTGTGCATTGTGTGGTGTGGACTGTGAGGCGCTTTGTGTTGCCCTGTGCAGGAAAAGCGCCCTATAAATAAAGATTGATTGATTGATATCTTATGGGAAGCAGCAAAAGCGACGTTAAGAGGCCAAATTATAGCATATTCCGCGATGAAGAAGAAAGAAAAGATAAGAGAGAAACACCAACTTGAAACAAAACTAAAAGATTTACAGGAACAACATAAACTCTCAGCAAATAAAGAAAACGAGAAAGAACTGAAAAAAATAAGGAAAAAACTGGAAAATATTGACTTTCAAGAAATCGAAAAGGCAACAATGATGAATAAACTGACTTACTACGACAACAGTCCAAAGGCCCAGCGGATGCTTAATGCAAAAATAAAAATGCAACAACAAAACAGAACAATAACTGTGATAAAAGATGGAGATACAGAGAGGAGAACAAAAAAGGCAATTCTTTCCACGTTCAAAGACTATTATGAACAACTGTACAGACCAGAATCTGAAGAAACCAACATAACCAAATTGGACTCATATATGAAGAGCTTTGAAGTTCCCCAAGTAAGCAAGGCACAAAACGACAATCTAGTAAAACCGATCACACAGACAGAAGTAATAAAGATCATTGAAAAAGCAAAACGTGGATTGGCACCAGGAAACGATGGCCTGACATATGAATTCTACAAACAATTTAAAGACCTACTTTCGATTACACTGTGCAGAGTTTATAATGAAATATTGGAAACTGGAAAATGGCCCCAAACATGGAACTCTGCAATTATCACCATTATAGCGAAAGAAGGAAAAGACCCACAAAGATGCTCTTCATACCGCCCAATATCCCTATTAAATGTGGACCATAAAATATTTACTTCAATTCTAACCAACAGACTGTCTGGCATTTTACCAGAAATAATCCATTTGGATCAGACTGGTTTTGTTAAGGACAGACTCCTGAGCGATAACGTCAGGAGGACCATCACCGTGGCGGCACGGTGGCTGAGTGGATAGCACTCTAGCCTCTCAGCAAGAAGGTCCTGGGTTCAAATCCCGGCCGGACCAGGGCCTTTCTGAGTGGAGTTTGCATGTTCTCCCCGTGTCTGCGTAGGTTTCCTCCGGGTACTCCGGTTTCCCCTACCACTAAACCTGGCATGTGCCTCCTGTACTGGCCCCGCTCCCATCTCTGTGTGGAGTGAGAGACAAATGCCCAAAATTAACAATTGTAAACCGCTTTGAGACTCAGATCTGCGGTATATAAATAAAAACTTACTAACTTACTTACTTATAGATCACGCATCAAAAACAAGACAACACTCATCCTGACACTGGATGCAGAAAAAGCTTTTGACCGCGTAACATGGCCTTTTTTATTTGCTACACTCCAGAAATTTGGATTTCATGAAGCTTTCATAAATCTAATGAAGTGTATGTATGCCACGCCTACAGCTAGAGTTAAAGCAAATGGATTGCTCTCAGAAACGTTTAATTTAAAAAGAGGAACAAGACAAGGGGACCCCATTTCAATACAGATTTTTGCCATGTGCATTGAGCCACTAGCAGAAAGGATTAGGAGGAATAGAACAATAAAAGGAGTGACGGTCATCGATGAAGAACATAAACTAGCATTATATGCTGATGACATCATGGTGTATTTGACAAATGGGAAAGAATCCTTGCCAACTCTAATAGAAGAAATAAGGCTGTATGGGCTAATATCTGGTTATAAACTGAATCACAATAAAACTGAAGTTATGGAGATAGGAGATCCACTAGACCTTGATTTTAAAAAACGACTTAAACTCAAATGGTCATGTGACAAATTTAAATATCTTGGAGTTAACATACCAAGTAAATTAGATAAACTCTATGAAACCAATTACTATACCTTTCACACATCAATAAAGCGAGACCTTATCAGATGGAAAATGATCCCCCTAACTATTTTTGAAAGGGTTAAACTTATAAAAATGAACATTTGGCCCCGATACATCTTCCTTTTTCAGAATTTACCTCTCTATTTGGACAGACACATTTTCAAAGCATGGGAAGGACAACTCAGAAGTTTTATTTGGGATGGGAAAAAACCCAGAGTAAAAATGAAAAACCTCCTAAGAGAGAAAGAGAAAGGGGGCTTAGCGCTTCCTGACCTGGCAAACTACTTTCTCGCATCACAAATGAAAACAATACTAGATTGGATAAATGTACAGAAAAACACACAATGGAAACAGATTGAGGAAAAAAATATCAAACTACTTGGTACCCTCCCCTTCACCAACTTCAAAACTAAAGAATACAAGGAGAAGAGCTTCACAGTATACAACTCGCTGAGGATATGGAAAGAAATATGCAAGACATTTAATGTGATAAAACAAGACACCATCCTTCTCAGATAAATAACTCAAGACCCACAATTCAAGCCGAACCTTACAGACAAAGGATTCAACACTTGGAAAATGAAAGGAGTGCAAAGATACCACCAACTCTACAGTGACCAAGGAATTGACTCATTTGAAAACATTGCAAGAAAATACCACATTCCAGTGAATAATTTTTATCGGTATCTTCAAGTGAGAAGTTACCTAAAAAACAATACAAATAATAAAAAAATGGATGAACTTCATGCTCTCATACGTTACTTAATTCAAAAGAGCAACGGAGAAAAGCATAAAGTTATTAAAGAGATATATACCATAATGCAAGAGCATCAGAAACATAATAGTGAAATAACCAATACAAAAAAATGAACTAGACGAAAGAATTGAGAATGACAAGTGGTACGAAAGTATAAAGGCAAACCATTCACACATACGATCACCATATTGGCAAGAGTTTGCTTGGAAACTACATTTCAGGTTCTTCCAAACACCTAAAGCAATCTCAAAGTACACAAAGAGCAAGAACCTGGGAGAATGTTGGAGGAAGTGCGGGGAGAAAGAGGTGGACTACAGACATATTTTCTTGACTTGTACGAAAATCCAAGACTATTGGACCGAGGTGAAATCAAATATTACACTAGTACTTAGACACATAAACCTACACAACGATAAAACATTATTACTGGGTATATTAACTCAGAGAATGAAGAGAAGAGAGGAATACCTGTTCTGGATAATGCGAATAACCGCCCTCAAACAAATCACCAAGAATTGGAGAACAACCAGCATCCCCAAAATCCAAAACTGGATGGAAGCAATTCAAGAGGTTCAGCTAATGGAGAAACTGTCACACAAAATGAATAATGATGAAGATGAATTCAGGAGAAAATGGCACACCTTCGATGATATATTTACTTAAAAGTGCCCAAAAAAAAATGTATATGTGTGTGGGTATACATGTAGGTATGTATGTGTATGTATGTATGTATGTATATATGTATATATGTATATATATATATATAATCTCAACAATAACCATAAAACTAAGTAGACAGGAGCTTCTGAAGGGGAAAGAGAAATATGAGAAAAATATTGTGTGTTTACAGGTGTGTGTGTGATTATATGTCTGCATGCATGTGTACGTATGCATGTATGTGGATGTATGCATGTGTGCGTATATGTATGTACATGAGTATATAGGTGTGCAAACGAGTATCTGTGCAGGTGTGTATGTATATATAAATTCAACAAAAATGGACACAGAGGAAGACTGACTACACATTCTGTATACTTATCAATATAACATCAAAACTATTTAACTTATAGCCATAAGAATAACTATTTATTGTTAAAGAGTATTTTATTTACTTTAATATTGTTTTTTTTTTTTTTTTTTTTGTATATACATATTTTATTTTTGTGTATGTGTGTGTATATATATATATATATATATTATTTATATTGTTGTATAGTGTTTGGAAACATGAAAAACATAAAATATCTTCTGATTATTAAAATCTAATTTTTGGCCTTTTGTCACACTTTTGTGCCCTTTAGTGTGAACAAGCCCATATATATATATATATATATACATACTTTCTCTTTATTTGTCTATGTATCTGTTTTATCCCTTTTTTTGACACAAGGGGAGCATAGTGGGGTAAAAAAAGAAGGAAAAAAAAAAGAAATTAAAATGTGTCTGGTTAAGCTGTATGTACTGTAATAAGGAAACAGTGTGAACTAATGAAGATGACACAAAGTATGAAAAAAATGAATGACGGCCCACTGTAGTGGCATTTGTACCTGGTCACATATTTATACACAAATCTAATCAATAAAACTGGCAAATATTGGCGTCACGTCCAGTTCGGTAATGGATTGTTCTACTACAACAAATTACATTGATTAAACATTTGAAAGGCCGTGAATCCTTTCAAATGTTTAATTAATGCCTTTTGGTCTTATCCTGTAAACATTTTACACACTGGACTCCATTAGGGCTGCAATTAACAACTGTTCTGATGATTGATCAAAAGCATAATTTCCCTACTCATCAACTAGTTATTTATGTATTTGACCAAAACAAAGCTAAAACGATGCCACTCAAGAACATTTTGATAAACCACTACTAGATGGTGGTTTGATTAGAAATACTTTCAAAAACTATCAGTCCGTCGTATTTATTGCTCATATAATCTCTAACACACAGGTCCAGACAGGGTTCAAAAGCTGATTTGTTTACTAAACTACTTGTTGACAACCTTTTCAACAATTAAAGATAGCAAAATAGTGTCTTTGGGATTCTTTGGTTTTTCAATATTACCCTTTTCACACTTGTCCTTGTCAAATGTATCATCAATTGGATACAGTTGTGTTGCATTTTATTGTAGTTTATTTCAGCAGTGTGAAGATGTGTTTAAGTGATGTGTTGTTGTTGTCTGGCCTCAGTTCCAGTCTTGTCCCATCAGCCCCAGAGCCCTCGTCCAGACACTTTGAGGAGCTACTCGCACCCATGTTTGCCCGCAACATCCTGAGCCGGAGCATCTGCACTCAGCGGCTGGGGAAGAACGTCACTCTGTATGTGAACCATGTGGCCCCCCATTCGTCCCCCACCACCGTCTCTGTGCCAGCCTCAGCCCCGGTGGGAGAGGAGCCCCGGCCTCTGCTCCTCATGCTGCCTTGGCTGGGCTCGCGGCCCCAGGCTGTGGCAAAGTACTGTGACATCTACTTCCGCACGGGCCTGGACGTGCTCGTGGTCACCAGTGAGGTACAAGCAATTGTTTTTATGTGTTGTTCTTTCATAATTATAATATTAGTATTTATTAGTGAATTACTTCAATTTGTGAAGAGTGAGCACTAGTTTGACCTGGCCATGCTCTGCTGCTTCCTATTTTGGGCAATTTCCTCATCATTGGTTTAACTATTCTCCAGAAGAACTTCGTGGCTGCAGTTATGTAGCAATTCATTATTGTTGATACGTACTGAATAAAATGGTAGAAAGTTTTATGGTAAGAAATATAATCTTCTACAAATGAAATGTAATATAGATTGCTATCATCCTCTGTAAGGCTCCTGGTGTAGCTTCGAATCTTTTTTTTAGCATTGCTTTATATCCTATAATCTTTGAAAGTTTGCCGTAAAAGGTTCTCCATTAGAAGGTTCTTGTTGGGTTAGGGTAAGTATAGTCACTTTCGAAGTCATTTGCTACCCAAACTACCACCAAAATACAGTTGACTCTTTGTGAGCCTGTGAAGATGTCTGAAATAGTGTCTTTAATTCAGAGAGAAGACATGTTTTATTGTTGATGGTAGACGCACGAACACACGAACAAGGGATGTTAGACAGCAAGTGATAAAATACTCAGGAGAAACAAAGACCTCCAATCAGCAGCTGCCACAGTGCCATCAGAGATAGCCAAAACATGAAATGGAAAAATACAGGCTTCTGCACATGGTTAGAATTAAGTTAGAACTTTAACCATAGTTGCTTAAAAGTGTTATGAAATCTCTACATTATGTTACAGCCTTATTCCAAAATTTATTCAATTCATTTTTTCCTCACAATTCTACACACAACACCCCATAATGACAACATTCTTGCAAATGTATTAATAATAAAAAAACTAAGAAACCACATGTACATAAGTATTCAGTCTTTTTGAATATGATGCCACAAGCTTGGCACACCTGTCTTTGGGCAGTTTTGCCCATTCCTCTTTGCAGCACCTCTCAAGCTCCATCAAGTTGGACGGGGAGTGTCGGTGTATAGCCATTTTCAGATCTCTCCAGAGATGTTCAATTGGATTAAAGTCTGGGCTCTGGCTGGGCCACTCAAGGACATTGAGTTGTCCTGAAGCCACTTCTTTGTTATCTTGGCTGTGTGCTTAGGGTCGTTGTCCTGCTGAAAGATGAGCCGTCGCCCCAGTCTGAGGTCAAGAGCGCTCTGGAGCAGGTTTTCATCCAGTTCCTGCCGCTGAAAAACATCCCCCCAGCTGATACTACCACCACCATCTGAGAACATCAGTGAGGGAGGCCACAGCTCAGCAGACCGAACATCAAAGGTGTTCGGAACAATCTGAAGGCCATCACAGGATTCAAACCAAAACCTGTTCCGCCGGTGGGGGACAGACAATGGGTTAACGACTTGAACACTTTCACCCGCCTTTGCTGCTGCCTGATATACTCGTGACTGTCTCTGTGTGACACGTACGTCTTTCGATGTGTGACGTGACAATGGCTGTGTCCAAAACGCTAGGCATCGGGCCGCGTAGGGTGGATATGTAGGCATCGAGGGAAGGCCGCGTAGCCACAGGCGAAGTAGGAGGCGAGACCTGAGGTGGATTTGGACAGCAGCTGCCTTCTGCCTTCGTCACGTGACTACACAACTCAGAGCGGAGCGGAAAGACACGGCGGCCATGATGGACGGTAAAAAGTTCTAAATACGCTTTAATTAGGACATAAAAGTTAATTCTAATATCATTTGAGGCGAGAAATATCCCCCTCTATTGTCATATCAGAAGTCTCTTTGGAAATAAATTCGAAAATTTTCGGACTTTACCTCCAGCCTGAAGCTCCGGTGCTATCAGCTAACAGCCCAGTTAGCTGCAGTGCTGAAGCCCAGAACAGGCTGTCTAAACACGGGTTCAGGTAATGAGAGCCCCCTGGATGTTTACAATCGTATTCTGAAAAAACAGAGGATGCTTTTGTTGTTACACTTTCTCTGTTATAACAATTGTATTGGCAGTAATCATTAGTTTTTCAAGTTATATTTTATGTAAACAATGCACATATATGCAATAAATGATTATTAGATATGGATTATATATTTGCTATGGCCCTCGTTTGTGCATCACTTAAAAGTAATTTTATCAGACCTAAATGTATTAACGTGTGTTTGCTGATGAGAGAGAAACATCAATTTATCTATAATAATAACTGACACATCCATTTATCTATAATAATAATAACTGGAACATCCATCCAACATTATTAGATCTATAATAATAACTGACACATCCATGGAAACATTAACAGACATCTGTAAAATGGAGTTGAACACAGATGTTTGACACTGCTCTTATTCACTTTTATATCTCTTGAAAAGCTAACAGACCGTTACTAATCACATTTGAGTTTAATGTATTCAATTATAAGTATAAGTATAAGTACTGCTGACAAATATGTAGTTGTGTAAATAATACCTCACTTTGATGACTCTACATTTCACACAAACAAGAAAATCATAATAAAACCAACAAGTTTGATTTGTTTTCTTTATTTCCAGGTTCTCTGTGAAGTGCTGTCGATGAGACCTGTGTCAGAGGCAGACGCCCAGGACTCTGCTGCTGCTCCTGCTGCTGTTGCTCCTGCTGCTGTTGCTCCTTCTGCTGCTGTTGCTCCTGCTGCTGCTGTTGCTCCTTCTGCTGCTGCTGTTACTCCTCCTGTTGCTCCTGCTGCTGTTGCTCCTGCTGCTGTTGCTCCTGCTGCTGCTGTTGCTCCTTCTGCTGCTGCTGTTACTCCTCCTGTTGCTCCTGCTGCTGTTGCTCCTGCTGTTGCTCCTTCTGCTGCTGCTGTTACTCCTCCTGTTGCTCCTTCTGCTGCTGCTGTTACTCCTCCTGTTGCTCCCTCTGCTGCTGCTGTTACTCCTCCTGTTGCTCCTTCTGCTGCAGCTGTTACTCCTCCTGTTGCTCCTTCTGCTGCTGTTGCTCCTCCTGTTGCTCCTTCTGCTGCTGTTGCTCCTGCTGCTGCTGTTGCTCCTTCTGCTGCTGCTGTTACTCCTCCTGTTGCTCCTTCTGCTGCTGCTGTTACTCCTCCTGTTGCTCCTTCTGCTGCTGCTGTTACTCCTCCTGTTTCTCCTTCTGCTGCTGCTGTTACTCCTCCTGTTGCTCCCTCTGCTGCTGCTGTTACTCCTCCTGTTGCTCCTTCTGCTGCAGCTGTTACTCCTCCTGTTGCTCCTTCTGCTGCTGTTGCTCCTCCTGTTGCTCCTTCTGCTGCTGCTCCTTCTGCTACATGTCTTCAGAGATGCAGAGCCCACTGTTCTAACTATTCATGACTGCTGATTAAAGGAAAATATTATATACAAGTTTGTTGTAGTTCATAATGTTTTCAGCAGTGAAGCAGGAGGTGATGGAGGTGAAGCAGGAGGTGATGGAGGTGAAGCAGGACGTGAAGCTGGAGAAATTATGACCTTAATTTCACCACAAGTCTCTGAAAAAGAAGAACACAAACATCATGCATTAAAACACAGCCCACATTTAGGATTCTTTTTACACTTCATATTCAATTAATACTATTTATTTGGGGCTTTGCAAAAAACTGGTTAAAAATAAAATACAGAAATCCTTACAGTATTTAATATTAGAGGTACAAGCTTCACAGCAGGGGAAACAGAAGAATGATATGATAGAAATATACACAAATAATCAAGTTATGAGCATGGCTAACCACTTTAAAACTGTGTTTGTGGAAGTGGGACTTTGTCCTCTGCAAATGTCTTATTAATGACAAACGAAACCTCTGTATAATGTGTGTTTACTATTTATTAGACTATTGTATGAAAAGGGCTTTATAATTATTCTTGGCCTATTCTATAATTTCATATGTCTAATATATACAGTTTTCCCAGTCTCAGTATAGGATTAAAAACGATATGCACAATCTATTTTATATGAATACAGAAAACATGTGTTAGCATACTATAGCTGCTGTGCTGCAGAGTGATTTTCCATGAAAACGTGACTTTCCTCAGTGTAGCTTTAATATTTAATCAGTGGGTTTGTTTCTCCCTAAAAGATAAAACACAACATGATTTTTCTTGTTCAAAAACCGAATCTGAATGAACTAGCCTCGTAGCATTAGCTTTTCGGGACTGAGCTTATTTACAGCAGATAACAAGAATAAATACACACATCTGTGGCAGATCTAATTTATGTCTGTGTTTTATCATAACAGTCGTGTTCATAACTCAACAGTAAAGTATAGCAGTACTTACTATAGACATAACTTCACAGTAAAGTATAGCAGTGCTTACCATAATGTTAGCTCCAGCAGCTCCGAGCTGAGTGTTGTTTACATGTTAATGCCGAACGGAGTTCTGCGCATGCGCGGCCGTGACTTGGCAAAAAGAAGGCAGCGAAGCATACATCAGATGCATCCTTCATATCTGCTCCAAAAGTGGCCGTTTCCATAGAGACGAAGTCATGATGCCTACGCTTGGCGAGCTCGCCAAGTGGTTTTGGACACCCCTGCAATAGCGGTCGCTTGAGGAAGTGACGTCACGATGCCTACATATCCACCCTACGCGGCCTGATGCCTACCGTTTTGGACACAGCCAATGACTATATAAACTGTGCACTGACTCCATTTTGTCTGAAAGAAACAATTGAAACCACTGGAACTTGAGAGAAACTTAAATAAACTTCCAGAGTTTGGCGCACCACGATCCGTCTCTGTCTGGTTCATTCCTGACAATGGTCTTGGATATGATCACGTTACAGCGGCACCGTTCGCCGTGTTGTTGTTGTTAGCGGCTCACAGCAGCTGGAGGTGGGAACCGCTGTAAAGAGCAGCCGCAGCTGCCCCGGGTCACGCGCTTATTCTTTATAAACTTGAAATCCCAGAGGGCCTACCTGCTCTGTCGCCATCACATGCATGTGTCCGCGGCATTCTGATGGGATGCATATAGGCAGGTCATTCAGTAAAAGTGTTAAATGCATAAAATCTTTTAGCGCGATTAATGAAAACAAATAGTTAATGTGATAATTTTGACAGTCCTTGTCTAGATATACAGTATCTTCATTTCGCCGCGATGCCTCAAACCCCATCTGCATTGATGCTGTGCTGTTTGCAGTTTCCAGTGGTGTCTGCTGGGATGATGCTGCTAGGCTAATGCTGCTGGGCTAATGCTGCTGGGCTAATGCTGCTGGGCTAATGCTGCTGGGCTAATGCTGCTGGGCTAATGCTGCTGGGCTAATGCTGCGGGGCTAATGCTGCTGGGCTAATGCTGCTGGGCTAATGCTGCCGGGCTAATGCTGCCGGGCTAATGCTGCTGGGCTAATGCTGCTGGGCTAATGCTGAATGCCGGTTGTTCTGCTGCTTTCTGCTGGCGTCAGAGCCTGCGCTAGCTTCAACCGATCAGCGCCGGGTTAGCTCAAGTCCCACCAGGGCCCAACCGAGTACATACCATGGAGAATGGACTTTGTTGGCCCCCGTTAAAGTTCCTGTAAATGGCCCTGTGGGGAAAGGTTCTGCAGTGGAGACACGCACCGACAGGGCTGGCCCTGGAAAATTACCCCGAAGTTCCTGCGGTGGAAACACGGCTATTCACTGTCGCACAGGTCCGAATGGAACTGCTTAAAATCAAGCCAGGGAAGGCCTGCGGACCAGGCAACATCAGCTCCAGACTCCTTTGCAGATGAACTCTGTGGAGTGTTGGAGCACGTCTTCAACCTGAGCCTCAGGCTGAGATCAGTACCACAGCTCTGGAAGACCTCCTGTGTAGTACCAGTGCCCAAGGCACCACGGGCCAAAGACGGTGTGGTCTTCTGGAGCAGCATCACAAGAGGGACAGGAAGAAGCTCAACAAGCTCATCAGGAAGTCCAGCTCTGTCCTGGGCTGTTCCCTGGACACAGCAGGTGGGGGACAGGAGGGTTCCTGGACAAACTAACATCTATGCTGGACCATGACTGTCACCCCCTGCAGGACACTGTCTGCTGTGGAGAGCAGCTTCTGTGACACTTATTCATCCCCGTTGTGTGAAGGAGAGGTTCCGCAGGTCTTTCCTTCCTGCTGCTGTCAGACTGTACAACAATGAGGACTAATGAACACTGCCAACTTAATCCCTTATATCAGAATGTGCAATAACCACATGTCAATGTCACTTTACTGAGTCACTGTGTCCCAGAGCCTCAGGCTACTGTACAGAATGCTAACATATAACCAGGGGTGCACATAAGTGGTACGCAGGTACGCATGCGCGCCAAATATCAGAAATGCGTACTATCACTTGAGTTAGTAAGCGCCTTTGCATACTTCAGACAGTCCTTTTCAAACAGGGGGACGTGCAATGCCAGTGTGACGGAGCGGTCCGTCTCTAGCTACGTGCGCGAATATAGTATGCAAAAGGCTGACTTTCATGCCGCACGCGCCACACACACACCAGCAGGCACACACACTGGCACACACAAACGCCATTCCCCACTCGCGCATCCTTTTCCCCCCCGTACATTCATACCATAGACTGTATATATATTAACGGACAGAGTCACGCCTATCTCCGCCGTTCTAACTAATGGGCCAAAAAATGTGCTCTACTGGAGCTATCCAAAATGGCCGTGAGTGGTCCCGCCCACAAGAAAATTGTGAAAAAGCTCCATTCATTTGAACGAGAGACTTCAAAAATTCACAGCGACTAAACTAGAGTGGACCAAAAAAATTCACCCCCCTCAGCATTGACACACATGTGGAACGGAGCTTTGGGCCAAGAGCCAACTTTTGGTCCATCCTGTAAAGACGTTTTCGAGAGGTCTGCCAACGCTATATGTTAGCATTGGCTAATTCTTCTTCTGGGTCCACCCCCATCGGCCCGGGGTGGTATTGCAAGCATGTCAGCGCACGTCATTTTGGCCACTTTTGAGCCGGGACCCGCCCCCACTGATTCATACGTAACATCCACACGCATCATCCATTCTCTGGTAGTTTGCCAAAGGATTCAAGCATACATTTACACACACATTTACCGGTCTGTCGCGCTCCTCTGGGCCTGTGGGCGAGGATCGAACCAGGACACTATTTCCTGGTGGGTTAAAGACACACACTTGCAAACAAGCAAGTGTGTAACGCAAAATAAATAAATACATATTGCGTTACTGCAAGAAACAGAGCTGGACTATGGAGTCTTATGGGAGTGTCCATATCCTCCCCGTGTCTCTAAATTAAAGCTGTGGTACCTACATTGCATTAATAATGCATAAAAATGTTGATTAAGGGGAACTTTCTTCCCCTTAATCAATTTCTGGGTCGGGGGGGGTGGCAGTCAGAGCTGCACCCAGTACACTTAGCACCAGCCCCTCTCTGATCCTCCTGCAAGTGGTGAGTCCACAGGAGCTGAGATCTTTCAGCGGGGCCTTCGGACAAAGTGGGGTTAAGTGTCTTGCCGAAGGACTCAACGACAGCAGACATGAGTGGGAGTCGGTGGAGAAGGTGTAGAGCTGAGCTTCTGTCGCCCCAAAATTAAAATGTTGTGAACAAATCAAACAGAACATTGTTTTGATTTTGTTTTGCCTTTTTTTAAAAAGAGCCCTGTGAGTCATTGTTTGACTTGGATTGAGTGGTATAAAATCTCGTTTGAGAACCACGCGACAAATGGAGTGAGTACCAAACACCATCTCCTGGTACTCATCTGAGTACCTCACTGAAAAAGTTATGTGCACCCCTGCATACATTGCTTGCGCTTGAATGCACTATACTTTATACTTGCCTCTTATTTTGCCAAATGGAAAACACTTTTATTTTCAAGTTGGAGATTTTAGACTTGTTATTTGATGCTAGAATTAGATATGTTTTATTTTAATTAGTATAGCTATTGTTCACTTAACTTGTGCTGTGAGCTTCTCTTTCCTACTATGAGAATAGAAATACAAATGACCTGGCCTTGCGTAGGTCACAACAACCCGATTATTTATCTGCTATGATTGTGTATTCATGTTATGACTATAATATGCTCTGATTGTCTCTGGACACGTATGTCTTTCGATGTGTGGCGTAACAATGACTATTTAAACCATGTCCTGACTTTGTTCTGTCTGAGAAAACTGAAAAAACAAACAACTGAAACCTGAAGGAAACCCAATAAAACTTCCAGACAGCTCTGGTGCGCCACAATCCGTCTGTGTGATTCATTTTCCACACTACTGTTCTATAACTTGTGATGCAACTCTGAAATTTCCCCACTGGGACGTATAAAGGATCTCTTAATCTTAATTGTAAATCTGAGAAAAATGACTATGTGACATTCTTTAGTACCATGTATATTCTACATGGTACTAAATTAAGTACCATGAACAATGAGAAACTGTCATTGTTCAGTATCTTAGTCTATGAGATATCTTGGTGCTTGGTTCTGCTGGGGACAACAACGTGTGACCCTGAAAGCACCAGATCGTGCCAAGTTGCAACAGTGTAGCAC